TTTGTAAATTATCTGTAAAAAGTGTAATTATATTTGTTTTAAATTTATGTTAATTTTTACAATAGATGTGACCTTTGCAAAATAAAAAACAGTTATAAACTAAAATCAAGGTTAACTTACAAAATTCCACTAAAAAGTAGCCATAAACATTTTTTTTGGCGTTTTTACAGTGTCAAAAATGACAAAAATGTCAAAAACCGTATATTTTTCTTACTATCTTTAGTAATTTTTACGTCTGGTACCCAACAGTACTACCAAAAACTTTATTTTTTGGGTCCAATTTTTTTTTTTGCACAAAAGCACCAAACTAACAACAAAATAGTTTTGTCATTTGTTTAACAAAATAAAAATATTTTCTTTTATTAATTGATTAATTAAAAGTCTATTTTAGGCAACCAGTAAAGTTGTATCAACTTGACTTGTGTTTTTTTATACCAAAAATAGGTAATTTAGTTTCATTATTTTTAAAAAATAATTAGATTTATAAGAAAATGTATTAATTTTGAACAAGTTTATTCTTAATTTTATTTAGAATTAGTAATTAAAAAAGCAGTGGCGTACTTAAAAAAATATTTTGAGGGGAGAGGGCAAAAAATATTATAGTGAATCAAAAGGGCCTACACATTTTTTTTTAATTAGAGTTTTTTATTTTTTTATTGTTTTATTAACGAAAAACTGACAGGGAGTACTGGGAGTACTACTTTAAATTTTTTTATTAGTTTTTGCTTAAAAAAACAACAAATTATTGATTTTTATTGTGACCAATACAAAAATGTCAAAAACAGTATATTTTTCTTACTATTTTTAGGAATTTTTACGTCTGGGACCCAACAGTACTACCAAAAACTTAATTTTTTGGGTCCAAATTTTTCAAATTTCAATTTTTTTTCAATAAAAGCACCAAACTGACAACAAAATAGTTTTGTCATTTGTTTAACAAAATAAAAATATTTTTTTTATAAATTGATTAATTAAAAGTCTAGTTGAGACGACCAGTAATACTATTCTGTAAAGTTGTATTAACCTGACTTTTTTTATAAAAAAATAAATAGGTATTTAGTTTAATTATTTTTAATAAATAATTGGATTTAAAAGAAAATTTATTGATTTTGAGCAAGTTTATTCTTAATTATATTTATCAGTGGCGTACTCAAAAAAAAAAAAATTAACCAAATTTGTACAACTTGACAGAGTACTAGGAGTACTACTTTGAATTTTTTAATTAGTTTTTGCTTAAATCAACAAATGCTCATTCGAATATAGTAAAAAAATTGTATTTATTAAAAACTCGAGTGTAATTGTTTAAAATTTGAATTTTTTTGGTACCTAAATTATCAGTCGCAGAACAATTTTTCTTTGAGATTTTAAATCCTCATTTATTTCTACACAAAATTTGTACAAAAATTTCTAAATTAATGAAAGGTACTTTTTCTATATGTCTTTGGTACTACCAAACTTTAAACATTACGTAAGTATTAAATTTTATAATTGCTTTTGCACGTTTTTGCCCTTTGCTCGAGAGAGGTCAAAGACGTGCCAAAAGATGGTACTTCCGGTACTCACTCAAAATTTTCAAATTATTTTTATGTACATATTTAAATTTCTGAGTCAATTCCAAACGAAAAGTTATTTAAAAGACATTTTAACTTGAATTTAATGATTTGGAAAGTACAGAAACTGCCAAAACAAATGGAAAAACAATTAATGGTTATTTCCATGGTTCTCAGAAAACCCATCATGGGTTCACCCATTTGAAACTTGTTTACTAATTGGTTTAATTTGTCGAAATGGACAATGTCAAGGTACTTCCTAACGTAGACCTCAAGGATGTGTCTTAAGTCCGTTGTTAATGACCAACATGGTATGAAAAAAAGTGGTACCATCCTTCAAAACCCGTTCAGAATTGCGTAAATACCTCGGACTTTCTCTGACTATCTCGCCACAATAATTTCCGAATATTTTAAGAACCAGTTCTTGCATAACTTGTGAAATTATTACGGAAATAAAAGCGAAAAAAAAATTAAAAAAGTACTTACCTGTGGTACTAATAAAAATCGAAAAAAATAATTTATAACTATTTTGGAACACTTCTAACGCAGTCTGAGACGAAACTAACCTAAATGATTTAAGTCAGGTGCTATTATCGAGAGGGGGCCCCCCTCCACCAGAAGGAAAGTGATGATATAATCAGTAATTTAAACACCGACTTTATTAATAAATACATATTTTGGCACATTTGAATTCACATTTTTAACTAGACGAAAATGATTGATTGACATTTATTTTACTTAAACCTAAATAAGAATTTTTTGAAACGGTACCACCCGATTTCGAAATTTTGGAACCCGTCCATTGCTACATTTACAAAAATTAAAAATATTGTATGAAGGACAATCACAAGGCGGTACCATAAAGACAAATAGAGTAAATAAATCACGAAAAATGGTAACAGAGTCCAAAAAAATAGGGCGAAAATGAGCTCAAAACGATTTTGAGTTTTGAGGATTTGGCCGTGGAGGAATTGACCGGTTGAGTGGTACTCGCGGAGGGTACGGTCTTTGTCCAGCCAGCGTTTTTTGAGGAATTCGCCGAGGCCGGATCCGGTTTTGGGCAGGATGGTACTGGGGTACCTGAAAAAAATATTTTGAGTAGTACCAAAATTAATTTAACTTAAGTCTTAGTTTTGAAAATTTTCCAGTTGAGTACCAAAAAATATTAAAAGTGCAGAGGTGGTACCACAAATGGCAAAAGTGTAAAGCAAAAATTTTAGAAGTATACAAAAAATTAGATTTTTTAAAACACAATAAAATGTCAAAAAAATCATGGTACTGGGGTACCTGAAATCACAATTTAAAAGGTGGTACCCAAAAAAAATGAGTAGTACCAAAATTAATTTTAACTCAAAAAGTCTTGGTTTTAAAAATTTTCACATTTTTTAATACAGTTGAGTACCAAAAAATATTAAAAACGCAGAGTTGGTAACACAAATGGAAAAATATAAATCAATAATTTGAATAGTAAACAAAAAAAAATATTTTTAAAACACAAAAAAATGTCAAAATAATTATGGTACTGGGGTACCTGAAATCGCAATTTAAAAGGTGGTACCAGAAAAATTATTTTGAGTAGTACCTAACAATTTTAACGCCAAAAGTCTTAGCTTTGAAAGTTTTCACATTTTTTTAATCCAGTTGAATACCAAAAAATATTAAAAGTGCAGAAGTGGTACCACAAATGGCTAAAGTGTAAATCAAAAATTTTAGTAGTAAACAAAAAACAATTAGATTTTTACAATACAAAAAAATCTCAAAAAAAATTATGGTACTGGGGTACCTGAAATCGCAATTTAAAAGGTGGTACCCAAAAAAAAATGAGTAGTAACAAAATTACTTTTAATTCAAAATCAGTTTTGAAAATTTTCAGATTTTTAAATCTAGTTGAGTATCAAAACATTAAAAGTGCAGAAGTGGTACCACAAATGGCAAAAGTACAAATTAAAAATTTTGGTTGTAAACAAAAAAAAATTGATTTTTTAAAACACAAAAAAATGTCAAAAAATTATGGTACTGGGGTACCTGAAATCACAATTTAAAAAGTGGTACCCAAAAAAAAATTTGAGTACTACCAAAGTTAATTTTAACGTAAAAAGTCTTAGTTTTGAAAATTTTCATATTTTTAATCCAGTTGAATACCAAAAAATATTAAAAGCGCAAAGCTGGTTCCACAAATGGCAAAAGTATAAATAAAACGTTTTGAGAGTAAACAAAAAACAATTAGAATTTTAAAACACAAAAAAGTGTCAAAAAAATTATGGTACTGGGTTACCTAAAATCACAATTTAAAAAGTTATACCAAAAAAATTATTTTGAGTAGTACCAAACAAATTTAACGCCAAAAGCCTTAGTTTTAAAAAATTTTACATTTTTTAATTCAGCTAAGTACCAAAAAATATTAAAGTGCAGAAGTGGTACCACAAATGACAAAAGTATAAATCAAAAATTTTGGTAGTAAGCAAAAAACAAGAAAAAATGTAAAAAAAAATTATTTTAGGTAGTACCAAATTTTACTACGGTAAAATTAAACTCAAAAAAGTAGAATTATTGAAATTAAGTTGCTTAAAATGACATTCTACTACGCCAAATATATATTAGCTGGTACCAAATTCTAAATTTAATTTTTTAATATTTGAATTTTGAAAAAGTGGTACTTGAAACAAAAAATTTTGGTAGTACCAAAGCAGTACGCAAAATTTTACCTTGCGAGATGCACTTTGACCTGTTTCGGGAAATTCCCCTTAAGCAAGATGGCTTCATTCTGTGGTACCAAATCAGGGTACACCAAAGTGACGTCATAAACCGCATCCAAGGCCTTCTTTTCCAACATTTCTTTCGCTAAAAAAACAAACCCGGTGGTTCTTGGATGCAAAACATAATCATAACATTCAAAGTCGTTCTTTTTTGCATAATCATCACTTTTGGCTTTGGTACTAGTGGTAAAATCGGTACCTTCGGGAAAAATCAACAAACTATATTTGTATTTGAGATTCGAAAAATAGTCTATAGCTTTCCCAAGTGTCAGTTTATCCAAAACCCAGCACCTTTTAATAAACACAAAACAGGCCAATTGCATAACCCAGCCCGGCCCTGGAATATGTCTGATAACATCCTTCAAGACATATTTCGTCGGAAATTTAAATTTCCCGCGTCCTGAAACACAATGATACATCGTGGGCCACAAAAAATTCCAATCCGTCCGTGTCCGATGATTCATAACAATCAACGACGTTTCGTCTGTCTTAATCGCATCCCCAGACACTTGTATATCACACCCACACACCAACTCGAGAAGCACCTAGAAATCGGCCGTGAAAACGGAACAGTGTATGGACCCCCTTACCGTCGGATATAACTGCCAAAAACTAAATAAAGCGTCCGTACACGTCCGGTAAAACTTGTTCGAAATAAATAAAACCGGTAAAAGGGGACAAAACATCGCATAGCCTGGAATTTAATCACAAGGGAGGTAAAACAACACCGAAAAGTCACACTTACCGGCCATAATACTCGAATACCATAAAAAACAATACAACCAACCGTGAAACAATCCCATTGCGTGAAAAAAACCGATGAAAAACTGAAAATACGCTGAATTTTTCGACAGGGTGTTACATGGCGAGGGTTGAGATGATTTTATTGATTTCTCGCAGCATCCGACAGGAGTACCAACTCAACACGAACACAGTAATTGTAAAAAAATCAAATTCTTGAAGAGAATAATGTCACAAGGGTAGAAAAGAAGACTTACAAGGGGTGGTAATCTAATTAAAATTTATTGATCGTGACCGAGTTATACAATAATCATAATTTCCAATGCGTTATTTAATCTAATTAAAACAATCATTAAAAATTAGAGATTATGAAAGTTGATTTTTTTTAATAAAGTGAAAGTTTCAAGGTTAGGCAACCAATTATACACAGTACGTAAAAAATTGTTTATTTTGTTACAGTTTTAGTACAACTTATTGACACAGTGATATTCTATGAATTTATAATAACATCAAAATGTTAATGGTAATAAATAATGGAAAAATCGATTTAAATTATTTTGGCAGGCAACCAGTTATACAAAGAATTTAAAAGTAAAAAAATTGTAACAGTTGTTATTATTTTAATGTAAAATTTTATTTATAATTAATGTTTTTGCTACATTGCTAATTCTGCACATTTTTATAGTAAAAATCATTATAATTGTAAAACTTCGAGGTTAGGTAACAAAATCATTAAAGCTTACACCAAAAGAATAAATTAGCAAAATTGTTGTTTAAATGATTCTCATTTGTATTATTTAACAACTTTGTAGCAAGTATTGCAAAAACGAAGAGAAAGTTAAGTAATTATTACCATAAACTTATTTTGGGTATGCAACCAATTTTACACTCAATTATTTTTTCAGTGTTTTTTTAGAAATTAAGGAAAACTCAGAGAAATTTTTAAGATACTATTTTTATTTATTTCTGGTTCAAGTAACAGTATGTTTGTGGTAATAAATACAAAATAAAAGTTAATTGTTTTGGGTATGCAACCAATTATACACCTTTTTTTTAAGTGTTCTTTTATTAGGAGTTGGGGATAAATAAAACCAATATTTGTAAATGTCGCTTTTATTTATTTTGTGGTAAAAAACAATGTTAAATAATTCATTTTGCGTGCGAGTGAAATGTATTAAATAATTCACGGGTTTAAAACGCCCAGTCATGGGTCTGAAAACCCTGCGTTTGGTGTGTACCATTGGTAGATTTCTAGCAATCACCCCATCGTCCCTTGAGACCAAAACCGAACCATTTCACCAAAAAATCTACAATGTTGTGGTTTTTCTCTCACTCATTTGTGGCCTAACTACGACGATAATTACCAACAATTATTTTCTTGGAGACATCTACATGAAAATCGTGGTTTCTTATTTAACTGAATTTAATTTGATTATTTTTAGTTTCTACGTTATGGTAGTGATAAATTTCAAGCAACGATTATGTTGGTACCAACTGATCCGGCACATTAAAACTGTCAAAAGTAAAACTAAAATCCCTAAAAGCAAGGCGAGGAAATTCCCCTATTATTCGAGATTTGCAATTTTCTGTGTTTTGTCTTTACTGTGTGAAAGTTTAATTGACGTTCGTTGGGGTTTATTTTACGGTTGGCAATACTTAAAGAAATTTAACGTGCGTTTGGTGCAAATTATGTTTACTAATTTTTACAAATTCATGCTTTGTGTCATTTTAAACACCCTTAGGGTGAGGTACAAAAGGGTGAGAATCTCCCTTGGGGGCAAAAACACGATTTATGAACTACACAAGTCTGTCAAAATTTTGATTCAATTGCGACAAACTATTGACATTTTTAACGAAATTTTTCAATTCCCCATTGCCCTAATCGTGGGTTTTACCACTTTTGAAATTCTCAATTATATTTTGTTCATTATTTATGTGAAAATCGATTTTACAATTTTCGAAAGTGTTACTTTAGCCGGTCTTAGACTTGGCCCCACTGTTGTTAGTGCTTTTTTCCCGATTTGGTTGGCACTACTGTTGATTTTTACAGGTCTGGACTACAATTCTATTACTTTTGTGCGACTACGTCAGACAAGAAGGTGAAAAAATCGTCACGGTTTTTCACGAAATGAGATTGAAGAATTTTAAACCGGAATTGAACGAATTAACCGAATATGTGGAAGAAAATCTTCCGGTTTTAACCGCCGGTTATTTTCAACTCGGCAAACCGACGATTTTACGTGTTTGTGCCACTGTTACCAACTTTGTTATAGTTGTGGTGCAAATCACTAATAAAACTTAAGTACCAACTGTATTAATAGTTTATTCGAGAAAACCCCCTAAATCAGTTATTGTCACATCCTGATTGTCACAACCTTTAAATTTCCGGACTAAATCCCCCCAAAGACAGGATTGGTGACACTGGGGACATTCCCCCTCAATTGGTACATATTCGCCCCCTTTTAGAAAACATTTCGACAAACAAATAACATGAGCGATTAAATCGCAATTAGAATTCACACATTTCATTTCATTAAAAACTTCATCGTAACATAAGTAACAAAAACTTGTCTTGTGTGATAATGAGACACTTTTTGGTACTTTTTTACTAATAACAGGGCCGTAACAAATGGGCATATGTGTTGGTGGGGCTTTCTGTAAAAAAAACACAGATTTTTGTTAATTTCTTGCATGATTTACCTGCAAGTCGCGAATAAAATCATTGTTGAGCCACCGAAGTGTCAACGGGAGTCGATTCCAAGGCCCCACTTGTAACATTTCGCTCAAAACGCGAATTGTAAAATCGTAAACTTTCTCTTTGGATTTTTTTTTCGAAATGTGCGCCAAACGACGGGAAACGTGAGGGTGTTGCCAAGCCCACTCAAACTAAAACAAAATCCCCTAGATTTGAAACTAAAAAAAATATTTCGTACCCTTAGAGCTGAAATATTGTTGGGGAAACCGTGAATAATCAATACCATTGTCCTAAAAGTGCGTTTTAAAGGCTCATTTGAGTGGCTTTCTACCTACCAAGGCCCCTTTTGACTTGTTTTCCATGCACCCCCATATTGTTTCCCCTTGTTGTGTTGCTTGACCCGGCGATTGGGGTCCACAGTGTACCCGATGTACACCCGACCCACATATTTCGGATTGGTGCAATACAGTAAATAAACCCCGAAAAAGTGTTCAACAACATCGGGCATTTTTAGGTTACGTTTCTAGGGGATTTTAGTTAAGTTGGTTGCACTGTTACTTGTCAAATTTTAATGTAATGGGCGATTAAAAGTAATTCGCTTTTCTACACAATAAAAAGTGCTTTTTTTGATATTAATTACACGTTTTTGGTAAAATTAGTGTTTCGTCGTGTTTTATTTGTATATAGTTGACAGAAACGAGACAAAATGGCAGCCACTAGGAGGTTACAAAAAGTGAGTAATTTTCCGGGTTTCCGGGCGAAATTCCGTCTCTTTGTCACTCCAAACCCCGGGAGTGGTAAAATTCCGGGCGTGAAATTGAAATTCCGGGTCGGTTGAGTGGCCTCAAAATGAGTCACTTTCTCTATTTTTAGGAATTGGGAGACATCCGAAATTCCGGTTTAAAATCATTCCGGGACATTCAAGTCGACGAAACCAACATCCTCACCTGGCAAGGTCTCATAGTTCCGGTAAGTGTCTTCAAGACTTTGCCCCCGCTTCACGCCCCCATTCCAGGACAACCCCCCGTACAATAAGGGCGCATTTAAGATAGAGATCAACTTCCCCGCCGAGTACCCCTTTAAGCCTCCCAAAATCACCTTCAAAACGAAAATCTACCATCCGAATATCGACGAGAAGGGCCAAGTGTGTCTCCCGATTATCAGCGCCGAGAATTGGAAACCGGCCACGAAAACCGATCAAGTGATTCAAGCATTGGTGGCGCTGGTCAACGAACCGGAGCCCGAGCACCCCCTTCGCGCCGATCTCGCTGAGGAATACATCAAAGACAAGAAGAAATTCACCAAAAATGCCGAGGAATTCACGAAGAAACACAGCGAGAAGAGACCGACGGATTAAGTGACACCAAACTGTGATTTTACTTTCTTTTCAAACATCCACGATGGCTTTTAGACCCTCAAGGGGGTCACATTTTTATTTTTATTATTAAGTGAGTGGACTAAATCGTGGGATAGATTATTTAATTGCTAAATGCTTATGTAACATAAATATCAATAAAGATTACTTTCATTCAGTTGGAAGCCCCCTTTTTTTTAATTATCACAAATAATTATTTTTGTGAGGTTATGTTGGACAAAAAGTGAGGTTATGTAATTTCACATTTTTGCACTTATTTTAATTAATCTTGAAGTGAAAATAAAACTCGTTCATTTATTCATATTAAAACTCAATAGCCGTCGCAAAACTGTAATAATTGTTACACAAAACAAAAAACTGAGGTTATGTAACACTGGCCCTAACTGTCTTAATTTAAACGTTTCACAATACGGTTTGTGACGTAATTTCATCGTTTTTCTTCAAAAAGTCTTCAATGTATTCCTTGATTTCACTTTCATCTGAAAATTGAGCATTAATTGTGGTTATTTTTAATATTTTTGCAACCTTTATCGATTAAAGCATGTGAAATATTCCTAGCTGTGCTTTTGAAGGTGTCTCGAGATTCAAACCGGCGCTCCACATAAGCCGGCGTTAATAGTTTAACAACGAGATTCCCAATTTCGGTTTTTTTCAATTTATTTTTCTTGTTTTTGGTACTACTTTCCACTGATTCTACAAACTTTTCATATTCTTTATCAATGGAAGACTCTCCTCCCGTTTTCAGTTTCTTCTCATGCCTCCTATGCCTGTCTTCATGCTTCCGTTTCCTGTCTTCCTTTTTCGCCCCCTCATCATCCGATTCCTCCCCAAACAGAGTTGACAAATCGCGCTTTTTCTCCCCCATATCCTCGCTTTCGCACAACGTCTCTATCACTTGGCTCGCGGTCTGAAAACCCCCTCGATTCGTTTCGTAGAGTTGACTTGCGGTTTGGAACACAACGTCTGGGCCCCCTTTCACTTCAGTCTTTGTCTGTCTTTGCTCTTTTTCGATGTTGCGGAACAAATCGGTGATTGTCTCATATTTGGCCGGCTTTGGGGCGAAACTCACCAACGATTCATACACGTTTTTATCATCAGTTGAGCGTTTTATTGCCGAAATCTACAAAATGTGTGTCACAAAGGCTATAAATAAAACGACTTTCTAACGCGAAAAACTCGAACAAAACTGCCATTTAGCGCACAATTTAACCCACAATATCACAATCACCACAGGATTTTGATGAGAACAAAGTCGGAAAACGGCTTTTTTTCGAAAATTTTCATCAATGACAATTATGACAGTTGGTGGGGATTTTGATAAGTTGAGATTGGCAATAATGATGGCGCTAAATTCAAACTTACAAGCTTCGCAACTGAACTCCGGTACATCGTCATCGTGGTATTTGCTGAAAAAACTGAATATTCAATATCAACAGCACAATCCTCGACGTCTTTTCGATCAAAAACTTGCTCATTTGCACATTTCTTGTAATTATCGAATAAAACTTCCACAATTTTGCTCAAATACTGTTCGCGTATTGCCAACGTTAAACCTTTAACTTTACTAGAAGTCGATGCTGCTGCCCTCACACGTGTATGTTTCGAAAATAGTTTCTCGATCGTCTTTTGTGACACTTCCTAAAGCAACCAATCAGAATAAAGCGCGTATTTTAAATCGACCAATCACCTGTGCGCTACGCCTTAAAGCAAATTGTTTTTGTATTAATAAATTTGATTCTTTCCGTGCTTTGACATCACGATCTTCACTATCCGAACTTTCATTTCGGTAATCATCAAATGCCCTTAAAACGATAATTACAACACAGAAAACTGTATTACCGACTTACTCCTGCTGCTCTCTACGTCCACCACCATACAAATCGGAATAATCCTCACTTTGTGACTTAAATGCAACCGAACTATATTCTATACTTTTCACATGAAACTCTTCCACCATTTTTTTCACAGCCTTCTTATCGGTGCAATAATCACATTTATTGACACACTTTGGTGGGGATTCCCCGAAATGATCACTGAATAATTTATGTCGACAATAGTCGGCAATTTCACAAAACTCAACCATTTTCTTAAAACTTTTAATCGCATTTTCGGCCTTGATTTTCTTGTCCTTGCTTTTGGCAAGGTCATGATTAAGATGAAACGAAATGGCTCGACTATCGGCTCGGTTGTAGTAAATGCGACAATTGGCCGGTTTACCGTCACGGCCTGCTCGACCTGACTCCTGATAGAACGAAGCCGGGTCTTTGGGAATCCCCCAATGTACGACGAATCTAAAAAGTGACAATATCCGATGAAGTGACTATATCTTATGAACGCTACGTAACGCTAACTTCACTCCTAATAAATACAAAATATCCGGTATTAAACACACCCAAAAAGTGTGAATAATTGAAATATGGGCAAAAATCAATTGATTTGTGATAAATTTGCTAAAACACAGGTTAAAACAGCCAAATAAATAAAACGCTAACTTCATGCAATAAAAAATGACAACTGACATTTGTGTCCTTGAATTTGAAAAAATCGCATTTTTTTAAATTTTACCTTACTGTGGCCTTGTCGACCCCCATTCCGAAGCTAATAGTGGCACAAATGACTTGTGTGTCGCCCCTTTGCCACTCCTCTTGACACTCCAATCGTTCCGAGTTTTTCAAACCTGCATGATAAGCCCTAGTTTTGACCCCTAAACTGTTTAATTTGTAGGTTACAGCTTCTGTTTGTTCCCTAGTCCGGCAATAGACAATCCCGCACCCTTGATTCTCCTTGGCAGCCCCCTCGTTGTCTTTAAGACACTCAATAATGAATTTCTTCAAGTGGAGAAACTCGTTCTCTAGAAGGTTTTGAAAAAAGACATCGTAATACAAATTGGGGCGAAAACACGAAGTCTTGAAAAGTTTAAAGTCTTTTGCGAGTTTCAGACTCGTGATTATGTCTTTGGTGACTTCGGAGCCCGCCGTAGCGGTTAAGGCCACAAACGGGACGTTTTTCACGCGTAATTCCCCCAATTTGAGATAATCGGGGCGAAAATCGTGCCCCCATTGACTCACACAATGCGCCTCGTCGACTACAATAAACGCAATTTTCCCAAACTTGACTAAATTATCAAAAAGCGAACGGAAGGTTTTAGTCGTGGCTTGTTCGGGGGTGATGTAGAGGAGTCTCGTGAGGGGCTGTTTGGTTTTGAGGTCGGCGATGAGTGCCTCTCGGTCGGATTTGGACGTTTTTGAGTTGAGAGACTTCGCCCGGATTTTGAGGGCTTGCAAATGATCGATTTGGTCTTTGATTAGGGCTAAAAGGGGCGAAAAAACGATAGTTGTTTGATGGGGGTGTAAGACAGCCGGGAGTTGGTAACATAGAGACTTGCCCGAACCGGTGGGCATTGACACTACCACGTCGTGCTTCCCTAAAACAGCCCCATTTGTGAGTTTGGGGAAAAATGTTAGGGGGACGTACTTTGACAAATTTCGGTAATAGCAGCTTCTTGGAGGTCCGATTTGAACGAATCGAACTTGAAAGTTGTCTTCAGGGCCGTTTTAATCGCTTTTATGTCCATTTCGGACGTTTTTGTATACATACAATAACCTAAAAACGGTTACAGAAAACAGAAAACTGTAATTTTCAAGTGTCAATTGTTTGGCGGGAGATTTGAATTTGGAATAAAACTCGTCGGTTTTGTAACATTTTTATTAACATAAGTGCTGAAATAGATCCACACTTGCTCTCTCGCGTGGCAAACTCAACAATCAGGTGCTAAGGCACTCACATAAAAAATCTACACTTAGAAAAAATTGACTTTGGTGATTTTTGATTGATACAATTCCTAATCAGTGCATAAATCCGGTAACTACATAAATATGTATACAAACAATAAACAAACATGAAATGCCCTCAAACAATTATATACAAACAAAAACTTATGAAATAAATACGGAATGTATTTGTTTTTCTTTAAATCTTGCAAATATATTTTATCTCAAATTTTCCAACAGTAACCGTCTAAAAATATATACATCTCTGTCAAAAATCCAAAAAGGCAACTTTAATACTGTGTATGAGCTGATAAAACATCGAATTTGTGTCCGAATTAAACTTCAACATCGTTAAACCTCCACAAAACATAAACAATTGCACGCGTGCAAAAGCTAATATCATAGGAACAGTCACCTTTGGTCCCGTTTTTTAATATAATTTGCGTTTTTTCGCCATCATTTCCACAGCTTGCGATCTTTCTAGTTTGACAAATGGTTGTGGCAAGCCTGATTTGCGTTTAAAAATCAATTTGGGAACCCCCTGGGAATCCCTTTGATACACCGAATAATCCCCCACTCCTTCACTCCGACTCGAATCGGAATCATCCGAAGTGTCCTCAGTATATAAATTCCTGAAACGTTTCTTCTTTCTCACTTTCTTATAATGCAATTTCAAATCTTTATCTTTATCTTCAATTATCTTCCTTTTCAATTCAATAAATTTCTTCACTTCTTCCAATTCGTTCAAATTTAAGCTTGCCTTATTCAAAAACCGCTCCAAAACCGTGAATTTATCAACCGGTTTTGGTTTGTTTGATAATTTAGGGATTTTTATGTTTAGGGAATTTAGTTTTGAATCAACCACGTCTTTGTACACCTGTAAACTGTCTTCCTCCGAATGATACGAAAACTGGGAGGAGCTTACCGGTGAGGGGGTGCAAACGTTTTCTATTGGTTTAATATTGAATTCGTTGACGTCAATTATAAGTTTGCGATTGGTTGTTGAAATCTGGGTGGGGGTTGGAGGAGAAGGCGTGTCTTCTTCCCAATTACTATTCGTTCTTGGTGGCGATTTTTTTGTTTTCACAACATTCTCGATTTTTTCAACAACAGTTTCGCTTATATCGTCCGATGACGTCACTGTATTTTCCATTATCTTGTTCTTTGGTTCGTCTAAAAAGAAAAAGAAGAAAGTTATAAAAAAAAATTGAAGAAATTACTTACCTGAAGCAAGTGGGGCTTTTCGTTTCCGCTTGTTGTATTCTTCCCAACTTAGTTTCTTCCGGTCGATTTCTTCTTTACTTATTTCACGAATTTCAGTTTCAAGATTAAAAGTGACTTTTTTCGGACTTTTCTTTTCTTCTTTTTTTGCGGTTTTTTCTTTAAGTGATTTAATCTTGTTGACGGTTTCTTCCAATTTTGACAATTTTTGTTTTTCTTCTTTTGGTTTTTTTACGGAAGAATCAGTGACATAGAGTTTCTTCGCTGCTTTCGTGACCGGTTTTTCAATTTCTTTGATTTCTTCAGTTTTCTTCAAAGTTTCTCCACTTTGGGGCATTTCTTCAGTCAATCTCGCGCATTCTTCAAGAATCTCTTCCCGGATTTTATCATCAACTTTCTTGTCTTTTACCGGGGATTCTTCATTTATCTTCTTTTTCGTATTTTCTTCTTTCTCTTCAATAACGCACAATTTTGGTTGCTTCTCAATTTTCTTATCTACAATTTCTTCACTCTCAGAATCATCACTTTCAATCACTGCTTTCTTCCCATTTTTCTTCAAAACAATATCTTCGTCAAGATTTTTCGACTGAATATCTTCGTTATTTAATTTCTTTATGTGACTTTCTTCCTCAACATTCGGTTTCTTCTCACGTTTCTTCATTTCTTCACTTACCGACCTCCGATCACGTTTCTTCTTTTCCTGTCCCTCTTCATGCTTCTTCCTGACTTCTCTTTCTTCAACTTTTTTCAACTCACTTTCTTCACTTAATTTCTTGTCACGTTTCTTTCTCTCATTACTCTCGTCTTCATGTTTCTTCTTTTGTCTAATATCGTCGTCACGTTTCTTCTTTTCATGATTTTCCTCTTCACGTTTCTTCAAGTTCTCCTCATTTTCTTCAGTTAATTTTTTCTCATCTATTTTCTTCGTTTCTTCTATTGGTTCCGTTTTCTTTAATTCTTCTTCACATAACTTCTTGTCGCGTTTCTTCTCTTCACGTTTCTTCAATTTTTCAACCACTTCGTAATCGAATTTCTTTTTCTCGTTGTTTGGTAAAGTTTTCTTCAATTCTTCTTCACATGCCAAGTTTTTCTCGCGTTTCTTCTCTTCACGTTTCTTCAATTTTTCAACTACTTCGTCCCCGATTTTGTTTTTTTCGTCATTTAGTTCCGTTTTCTTCAATTCTTCTTCACATAACAAGTTTTTCTCCCGTTTCTTCTCTTCACGTTTCTTCAATTTTTCAACTACTTCGTCCCCGATCTTGTTTTTTTCGTCATTTAGTTCCGTTTTCTTCAATTGTTCGTCACATACCAAGTTCTTCTCGTGTTTTTTTTCTTCACGTTTCTTCAATTTTTCAACTATTTGGTCCTCGATTTTCTTTTTGTCGTCAGTTGGTTCCACTTTTTTAAGCTCTTCTTCTTCACATAATATTTTCTTTTCCGGTTTCTTCATTTCTGGAGCTTTTTTCTTCCCTTTCTCAACACTTTCTTCAACTTTCTTCACTTTATTAACACAATCTTCGGTTTCAAGATTCGATTTTTCTTTCTCAGCCTTCTTTGTAATGACCTCGTCTTCACTATTTTTCTTCATTTTTTGCGGTTTATGCTTCTTTTCATCGTCTTCAGTTTCGTTAAATTCAAGAGACACCTCATTTTCTTCATTTTCTTCACCTATCACAACCTCGTTCTGGCACTGAAGATCTTCTTCAATTTCTTCTTCGATGCCTTCTTGATAATTACCATTAACATCGATAACCAGCGACTCGGACAATGGTAACACACTCAATATCTTCGTTCCATTGACATGATTGATGTTCAATTGTACAAGAGCGCCACCTATTTCCAAAATAACACAATTATCTTCAACGGAAATAGCGTCTCGCAACTCAACTTCTTCATTTTCTTCCTCTTTTGAGTGATTTTCTTCATTTGGACTATTTTCACTTTCTTCCTCCCCTTTTAGAGGAAACTGAAGACTATTTCTTCGGGTTTGTGTGGGGAAAGTACCGATGATATCATCAACGGAAAAAATTCTTTGAGTACGTTTTGTGGTCGTAGTCACGTGACTTTCTTCAAGCAAATCTTTGTCGTTTTCTTCAATTGGTGGTGTTTCTTCCTTTTTTTCTTCATGGTGATCTTCATCGATCAAGGGCATATCCTTGATGACTGACGCTTCGTTCGCCACAATGACACTTGTCTCAACACTTTCTTCTTCTTTTTCTTCGTTCGCCTTTGGCTGTTCTTCAGATTGGCTTTTATTTTTGGTTGTTTCATCACAGTCTTTCGTTTGATTTTCTTGATAAGGCACTGTTGTATCTTCACTTGTTTTTGCAATTTCTTCAAGTAGACTGTCATTTTTTTCGACAATTTGAAGATTGACACTATTTTCCGTTTCTTTAATTCGAACAATTGAATTATCAAGAGTGCCACTCTTGATGATATATTGTCCGTTTTCGGTTGGTACCAATGAGAAGTTTTCCAAACATGGCGGTAAATCGGAAGAATTTATAACGAAAACTTGCTCGTTGTTTGTATCGTTGCTATGCAACCGGACGTTTTCTTTAAAAATGGGCGTAATTTCGTTCGGCCCCTCCTCTTCCGCCCAATTTTCGATAAAATGACGTAAACCGCCACTCCCAGCTCGATTCTCATTGGCTTCGGTGATTTGATGACCGCCCATATAAGAGGCGGAGCGACATGTTTGCTGGTAGTATTCTTGAGTGAGTGCCGTACGTCTATGTTGGTAGTGTTGGGCGTACTCTGGTGGGTTGTATTGTCCATAATTGGGCGAAATTTTTTGCGAATTGGAATAGTTCATCATGAGGTTACGCGGTGATAGGCTACGATCATTTTGGGCGGGGTATTGTGCCCCACCTACCGGCATCTGATTCGTCCGATAATTACACGACGGATAATTGTACTGGTAGTTGTAGGCGGGGTTATGGGTGGGGTAATAACGTTGATTTTGATAGTGGTGGGGATAGGTGGATTGTGATTCGCGGATGTGGTGATCACTCATGATTGACCGGGCCATTGTAGGGTTGATTCTTTGTAATTTAGCCAAAAAGTCGTTCTCCTGTGTGGGGTATTTGCGACATTGGGGAGTGGGCGGGACATTGTATTTGCCCAATTGGGGGTACTGTTGGTACTGAGATTCGGGGTGGTACTGGAGGGCGGGGTTAGAGGCGTAGTTTTGTTGCCGGGAGGCGGGCATTTGTTGCAAATTGCACATATCCATATGTATGTCTTTGTGTTTTTGGAGGTGGTCTACATTTTGGAGGGGGGTTTCGGCGATTTCGGAATATTTTACCTGGGCCGGACTCTCCTTATAAGGGGCCCTTTAATTAATTAATTAATTTTTTTTTTCTTAATTAATTAAGCAACTTACGAATAATCCGGATATTGTGGATATCTGTAATAGTCATTAGGCCTTGCCGGGTAATGATTATGAGGGGGCACCCTCGCAATATGACTCGTATCAATATTATTCAGGTCCGTATTAGAATTTTTCTCGAGGCCCTCCTTTTTGCGAAATTGGCGCAGCGAGCTGGTCGTATTCCCACCTGTTTGCTGATTAATTTAATTAATTCCAGGCCCGGCTCAAGCCCATTACTTACCGTAATGTCAGCAAATGTCGGTGATTGGTGGGAATTGACAGCTCCTTGGCCATATTGAAGTCCGGCATGCTGCATCAGGCACTAAAAACATTAAAACAGTTGAACGACCCTCACACTTTGCCAACTTGACAAATTCTTTGCGTTTGTAATTAGGAAGATTGTGTCATCGTAACGTTATTTAAATCGATTCACCGGTTTTTGTTTGTCTTTCGTTTTGTGTCAATAATAATATCTAAAGGGATGGTTGTTAGTGTATGAAATTAATGGGACGCATTAGGGAAAATTAATCGATCGGATAATAATGGTCAAGTGCGGCCCTGGATAATTTGTTTATTTCATATATTTATGTAGGTTAAATGCATCGATTTTTTTACTTTTCCGTTGATTTTAACAAATAATAAATAGGCGCAATTTTGTCTTGTTATATATTTTTTTACCCAACACTTTACGACCCCATAAAAATACTATTTATTTATTTATGTCTTTATTTATTCATACATTATTACGATTTATTTTTAATACGATGTAATAAACCAAAAAATGTATGAAATTAACGTAATGTAATGTAAACGCAGCTTTACAAGAAAATGCAAAAAGTGTAAAACGATTACGAAATATTTTTTTTGCCATTTAAAATAAAAAAGTGATTATTTCGCTTTATGACTCCTTAAAAATACCACTTATTTATTTATGAGTTTTTATTTATTCATATGTTACCATAATTTATTTTTAATGCGACATACAGTCTATAAATAAATCGAAAATCGTGTGAAACAACCATTAAAATACTGAACATAACCTAACAAAACGTCAATTTTACGTAAAACAGCCTTTATTTCAGTAATAAGACTTTAAATTATTGAAATTTAAAGTAACGTTAACGCAAATAATGTTACTTTTAGAAATGTAATCTTGAAACTTGAATATAATATCCGTTAAAGCATCATTCACTCCTGTCAATAGTGTACCATAACCGTAAGACTAATAATTTGTCAATATAGTGACAAAATCTTTACGTTCAGAAAGGTGTAAACTCACCTTTACTTCATTTTTCATTTAAATGGAACAGTTAATGTAAATCACGCCTTAGTTCAAAAAAAAAAACATCTGAAATTGGGAAAACTTAACGTAACTAAATATGAGTGTGAATCAAGCATTTTAAAGGTTCGTTCACACTTATTAATTCGTGTTTCCATACTTTATTTTTAATGCGACACAGTTTATACCTACATTGGAAATCGTGTAAAACAAGCATTAAAATACTTAACATAACGTAACAAAATAAAAGAATTTTGTTTATTTAATGTGAAACAATCTTTTTTTTTTCTCTTGAGACTTTAGTTAATCAAACTAACCCAAACGTAGTTTTATTAAGTGATATTTCAAAAATTTAAAGCAACGTTCACGCAAATAGTCACCAAAACTCTAAAATTGTAAAAAAAGAAATGTTTAAAAGTGTAAAACAGCCTTTAGATCATCGAATTGTAGTCTTAAAACTTGAATATATTTTCCGTTAAAGCACCATTCACACCTGTACATAGTGTTCCATAACCGTAAGACTAATAATTTGTCAATATAGTGACAAAATCTTTACATTCACAAGAGTGTAAACTCACCTTTACTTCGTTTTACATTTAAATGGTATGAAAACGAGAAAAGTTAATGTAAATCACGCCTTATTGCCTTATTTGCCTATTGAAAACGTAGTTTTATTACGTCATATTTCAAAAATTTAAAGCAACGTTCACGCAAATAATCATCAAAACTCTAAAATTGGAAAAGAAGAAATGTTTTAAAGTGTAAAACATTCTTTAGATCATCGAATTGTAGTCTTGAAACTTGAATATATTTTCCGTTAAAGCACGTTTCATAGCTGTAAGTAGCGTACCGTAAGCGTAAAATGTATATAAATAATGGTACAATCAAAGGGCAGTTAATGTAAATCACGCCTTAGTTTAAAAAGCTTAACGTAACGAAATGAGTGTGAATCAATCCTTACACCCCAAGCAACGTGACGTAATATTATTTTTTAAAAGTCGGTTCACAAAAAAAATCCTAAAAACGTCTAAAGATGCGTTTACGCAGCTCAATGTCAACTTTTTCCCATTTTATCATAAGTATAATAATTATCGTGTCAATTTTTCACTCATTACCGCCAAATAACAACACACAATCGCTTTACGACCAATTAAAAAGCCAATAATTTTCCGATATTATATTCGTGTTTACAACAAAAAAACAGCACTCCAATTAATTAGTCTTCATTCCATTGGAAAAAGAATTCGATCGGTGCCAAATCGGGTGAGTATCGCGAGAGAGAAATCGTTTCCGGTATTCGTACATCCGGACAATCGTCATTATAAACAAATTACGTGCTACCACTATAACAAAAATAAATCGCACATTTTTTTTATAATATTTTTTTTCCGGCGAATGGTAATTACGCGACCTTCGTAGGTACATTGCGATAAATTTGTGTTTTCGTGCCGTTTTATGTTATGTTTCGATAAAGTGTGGAAAATTCAAGCCGATAAAGCAGATCACTTTAATAATTATTGTCAAACGGAATAATTAATTTATTTTTTTTTCGTCAAAGAATTACGGCGATTGACCAAACAGGGGGTGGGACAGGTGGTGGGCGTGTCTACAGATCGATAAATATAATAATAGCTTTAAAAAAGAATGAAATTGCCGGAAAAATAATGAAAAATTGGAAAAAGGGGCGCAAAATCGATTCGTCTCGACTGTTATGTTTAATTATTATCGAAAGGGCGGTTTTGGATGAACGGGAAAAGGAGGAGCGACATTTATTATTCACGAAACACACAAATTCCGATGATTACGAACGATATATACACAGTGAAGCAAAAAAAAAATTATGTTTAATATGGCACACACGAGGCGGCCTTGGTTTAATGTTTGTAACGCTTATCTTATCGCAGGATTTACAGATTAAAAATACTATGAAACATCTCAAAACATGATAACAGAAACGGCAAAATATTATTTCATTTGTGTCTGAAAAAACAAAACCAAGCTTGTGTAAAACAAGCTTTAATTGCACGTAAACGTCTTTTACAAAAATTACGTGTAAAACCATCTTTAGTTAGATGAAACTTGACACTATTCTATAGTTCTTCGTGTAAATGGCTATTAAAGTACATCAGTTTACAAAAATAATTACTAAAGAGTGCAATAAATGCAGAAATTGTTACATTACCAGAAGCCAAAAATTTAAACCCAGCCTTAAAATTTACTTTATTAAACATTATTTAATTTTACGTAACAAAATCATTGTGAATTAAGCTTTACTTTACGCTGTAAGCAACCTAAAGTAATTATAAATTTATTGTTTTAAACGTCCCTCTACTAGAAATGGTTTACTTAAACTCACCAAAAAAAACTTACACTAAATGTAAAAGTAGCTTTAAAATATTTAAAGTAACAAAATAAGATATCCTTAAACAGAATTTCAAAAATTAATTATTTTGTGTGAAACATATTTTATTTCAGAAATGAGGCTTTTATTAACCCAATTTTTTTTTCAACTTAACATAAGGTAAACTTCATTACTAAAATCTAAAGCAACGTTTAAGCAACATATCAAGTTTCGGGTAAAACAGCCTTTATATTTTGAGCCAAAGTAACTTTCTCAACTGTAAAAATGACACATTTTTTTAAATAAAAAAGCTTGAACACCGTTAAGTCGTTACACTTGCAAAAGTGTAAAACCACCTTTACTTAATTTTTCATGTAAATTAGATCAAAATAGTGACAATTTGTGTCCATAAATTTCAAAAATCAGTTATTAGAAAATTCTAAAGCCTGACTTAGAAATTAAATTGTCATAAACCATCAATCGCTCAAATAAAAAAAACATGTGAAAGATCCTTTAGAACGTAATAAATAATTATTACGTAAGCAGACATAAAAAAAATGTGAAACTAGCTTTATTTGTGTCTTTAATTTAAATAAACCCTTACTATAATTAGTTAACAAAAAAAATTGTTTACAGTGAGTGTAAAATTAGCTTTAAAATATTTAAAGTAACGTAATAAAATATAGTTATAATACAAATAAAAACCAGAGTTTCAAAAATAGTTTATAACGTGTGAAACGTCCTTTATTTCACAAATGAAGCTTTTTTCTAATCTTTTTTTTTTTCAACTATAACGTTAACGTAAGTTCTACAATCTAAAACAACGTTTACGCAACATAACTACTTGCGAATAATAAATGAAGTTTTAAAATTACCGAAAAAAGTCATGTTTAAAAGTGAATTCCAGGTAAAATAGCCTTTATATTTTGCCCAAAAGTGCCTTTCACAGCAGTAAAAAACGTTATGTTTGCAAAAGTGTAAAACCACCTTAATTTTCAAAAATCTGTGTAAAGAATTAGGAAATTCTAAAGCCAGATTTACAAATTAAAATTGTCATAAATCATCAATCGCTCAAATAAAAAATAACATGTGAATGATCCTTTAGCACGTAACATTCATTTTTCTTTGATAATTCATTATAATTTTTTAACGTAACGTATAGGTAAATATAAAAAAAGTTTTAAAGATTCATTTATAAAAAAATGTAAAACTAGCTTTATTTAGTTTAGAGCTCGGTTTATAGCGTAATGTAAACGCAAAAAATTACAAGTTGCAAAGAAAATATGTGAACAATCCTTCCACGTAACGCTCTTTTTTTTAAATTGTAAATAAAGCTTTACCATAATTAGTCAACTAAAAAATTACGTTTACAGTGGGTGTGAAATTAGCTTTAAAATACTTAAAGTAACGTAATAAAATATAAATATAAACCAGATTTTCAAAAATTGTTTATACCATGTGAAATATCCTTCATTTCACAAATGAAGCTATTTCTCATCTAATTAAACATAACGTAAACGTTAACGTTATTTCTACAATCTAAAGCAACGTTTACGCAACATAACTACTTGCGAATTATAAATGAAGTTTTAAAATTACTGAAAAAAGTCATGTTTCAAAGTGAATTTCGAATAAAATAGCCTTTATATTTTTTTATTTCACAGCAGTAAAAGGCGTTATGTTTGCTAAAGTGTAAAATCACCTTAATTTTCAAAAATCTGTGTGAAGAATTAAAAAATTGTAAAGCCAGACTTACAAAACACGTGAATGATCCTCTATTACGTAACATTCGCCTTTCTTTGATAATAAACTTTTATATATTTTTTTTAAGTTTTAAAGATCCATTTATAAAAAAATGTGAAACTAGCTTTATTTAGTTAACAGTTCGGTTTATAGCGTAAAACTTCCAAGTGGTGAAAATATGTAATCGATCCTTCATCACGTAACGCTCGTTTTTTAACAATTGTAAATAAAGCTTGGTTAACTAAAAAATTCCGGGTACAGTGGGTGTGAAATTAGCTTTACTTTATTAAAAACTATTTAGTTCCCGTTTCTGTCTATAAAATAATGACAGTTTCGTGCCACACTAAACTGTAATCATCGTATTCAAATCGGCGTGACGTAAACGCAAAACTCGGTACATGAACAAATTAAAAATGTTAATGATGCGTCTTGTGTAAACCACCCCTTATATGACAAAAAAAAAAAAAATGAATCGCCAACGCGATTCGGTATGTAAAATGTGAGAAACTGTAATCGGCACGCGCCTTATCACCAGTTATCAAAAATACGTTCATAATATTCTCAAGATATCGTCGAGTAATTCCGTCGATAACAGTTAAATAAATAATCCCCGAGCGAAGGCTATTTGCACTACACTTATAAACAATAAGCAAACAATTGATAATACCCTCGGCAAACTTGATAATTCATCGTTTAACGTTCGGTCGCGGTAGGCCACGCAAAAAAAACAACTTACATTTTATCATAACCTCCCCTCGTCGCGGCACACTCAGGTAAGCCGTCGAGACGTTCGATAACAGCGGCGCGAAATTTTCGAAAAACCACGCACGACGTCCGGCGTCGCGACGCCACCACCATACACCACCCAAATTATCTCAATCAGGCGATTTATTTGGAAAAAAACAACGACGAAACCACGAACTTACCTAAAATCGTTTATCACTGATAACACGAACCGCCATTTTGAAGTTTATGTTTACAACTAGGATCGCAGTGACATGCGCGACCGTCAATTGTCGACACGACGAAACAAATGACAATAGCAGGAAGGACGTGCGCCTACTTGATACTAAAAACAACGAGGTGAACTCACCCCCACCCCCACCATACGACTATCAAAGCACACTTTTTCAAAGGGATTATTAATATTTATAAGCGTGATAAAACAAAAGTCACGGCTTTTCGAATAACAATGCCATATTTAAATAAACATTTAAATAACAAAAAAAATTGTTTTTTTTAATGTAGACAACACACAATATAACGACTTGTAAAAAAAATTGCATAACTTAGAAAACATTCTTATTTAATTTAATATAGACAACCAGTAATACAAAACAACAGAATTTTACGCATACTTTGTTTTTGTTTAAATAATTTTAAAATTTTATTTTTATTGCCCAACAACCCACTTAGATTAAATCAGATTATAGTTTTTTCAGGAATTTGCTAAATAATTTCGTAATTATTTTCTTATTAATATAAAAAAGTAATTATTTTTTGGTTGCATAACATTCTAAGAAAACTGACCACAATTACAAGTACAAAAAATTGTTGTTTTTTCAATTGCAGACAACACACAATACAACGATTTGTAAATGAAATTGCATAACTTAGAAAACATACTTATTTAATTTAATATAGACAACCAGTAATACAAATTGTACAATGTGTTGCATACCTCCAACCTTGATTGATTATTTACATCAAGTCAGTAATAAACAATAGAATTTTACGCGTACTTTGTTTTTGTATAAATAAACTTTAAAATCTTATTTTTATTGCCCAACAAGCCCACTTAGATTAAATCAGATTATCGTTTTTTTCAGGAATTTGCTAAGTAATTTCGTAATTATTTTCTTACTAATATAGAAAATAATTATTTTTTGGTTGCGTAACATAATGAGAAAACTGACCACAATTATTATCAAAAAATTGTTGTTTTTTTTAATGCAGACAACACACAATACAACGACTTGTAAATGAAATTGCATAAGTTAGAAAACGTTATCTTATTTAATTTAATATAGACAACCAGTAATACAAACCGTACCAGTATAATGTGTTGCATACCTCCAATCTTGCATTGATTATTTACATTTTATTTAAATTTGTCATAATTAAGTCAGTAATAAACAATAGAATTTTGCGCATACTTTGTTTTTGTATAAATAAGCTTTAAAATCTTATCTCTATTGTCCAACAAGGCCCACTTAGATTAAGTCAGATTATCAGGAATTTGCTACATAATTTTGTAATTATTTTCTTATTAAAATAAAAAAAAGTAATTACTTTTGGTTGTGTAACATTCGAGTGGAAAAACTGACCGCAATTACAGGTATATCATCACGTGGTTGTAACATTTGACCAGCATTTTCGCCCGATTTGAGTCAAGTGAATTAATATGGTGAAAAAAACAACACAGTTATCGCAATGATTTTATCACTTATCTTGAAACTATTTAAGAATCATTCATTAGGTAGTGTTAGTTGGAGTGAAAATGACTGAATTTGATTCAACTCAAAACATCGTCAATGTAAGTAAGGGGGAAAAAAAGGGGAATTTTGCAAATTGGGTGTTTTTAGAGCCACAGTTTGGAAACTGTGGAAAATGGAGCACCGAAAACGAAACAAAAACACAAAAAATTCGTCAATTTATTAATCAAACTTGCAGTTTTGTTAATATTAAAGGCACATTTCATTTGGGCAACTATTTATTTCGTGACAAACTCAGGTAAAAATTGAGATTTAGTAATTTTTAGTGATTTTTTTCTTACAGATGACACACTTGACTCAACCACATGTACGGGTTATGGCTTTTGGATGATAATTTACATTTTTATTTATTTCATCATTTTCTACAACGTCCTTTTAAAACCATACATAATACCCTTTATTTCCAACCTTACGTCAAAATATTTATCACCACAGCTGAAGAAAATACCGTAACTATATTACCAACCACCAAATTCCCCTAACACAATTTTTTTTCAAGTTTCTGGCCCTTAGTATCACGTGGTGTCATTTTAGCGGCCATTTTAGCCTTTATAGTTTACGACTGTCGTGACGATTTCTCACGTTTGATGCCATTGACAGGTCTAGTGATTTTTTTTATCATAGGTTTCCTATTCTCGTCGGCCAAAAAACAGGTATTTTTGTATAATGTCACTAGCGATATGTTACCAACATAATTTTTTGATAGATACCATGGCCGACTGTGATTTCAGGCCTAATTGCCCAGTTTATTCTGGGTCTATTGATGATTCGATGGGACACTGGACGTAATATTTTCAGTTGTGTGGGTGACAGGGTTGACACTTTTCTCAATTATGCTGTCAATGCGTCGGCATTTGTTTACAGCGAAGAGTTGGTTTTGAAACAGGCAATTTTCGCATTTAACGCCCTCGCCGCCATTTATTTAATGAATTTTTGCATTAATATTTTGTATTATTACGGAATAATGCAAGCAATTGTTGTGGATTTAGGGAAAATCTTGCAATTTGTGTTGGGAACACCGATTTGTGAAAGTGTCAACAGTGCTGCCAACATATTCCTCGGAATGGTAACAACGAAATTGAAATTTCTACTAAACTTTTGACATTTCTAGAGTGAATCGCCATTTTTGTTGAAACCATTTTTAGATCATTTGACTGATTCCGAAATACATTCTATAATGACATCGGGGTTTGCCTCAGTTTCAGGTTAGAAATTTAGGGATTTTTTTTTCGTTTAGTGATAATTTTAGGGACTGTTTTGGCGGCTTATATATCATTTGGGGCTAATCCGGCCCATTTGGTCACTTCGTGTGTCATGTCAGCGCCTGCTGCGCTCTGCTACAGCAAATTAATGTATCCAGAAACCGAAGAAGTCGTAGTAACCCATGAAAATGTCAAAACAATTAAAATGTAAAAAACCCTAAACTGTCACGTCATTTATTACCAACCGAAATTTTAGGAAATTCGGTTCAGTGTTAGACGCTGCTATTAAAGGGGCCAATGAAGCGTCACAAGTCGTAATCGGCATTATTGCCAACCTAATCTCATTTATAGCTTTCGTTTATTTCATTAATGGAGTATTGGGTTGGTTGGGAACTTTAGTTGGTAATACTGTCACTCACTGTCTTACACACTAAACGAAAAAAATCCCTAGGTTTCGTCGCCGAGGACGAAATCTGGTCACTTGAACTCATCTTGGGGAAAATCTTAATTCCCCTAAGTTATACAATGGGTGTTAAATGGGACGATTGTGAGAAAGTCGGTCAATTAATCGGAATGAAAACAATACTCAATGAATTTATTGCATTTCAAAAAATGCAACACATGGAATTGAGTGTAATTTTTAATTGAGACAGTTGGTACCACTTGTAATTTTGACATTTCAGTCGAAAAGTCGCATTATTGCGACTTATTCAATTTGTGGGTTTGCCAATCCGGGCTCAATTGGTACAATGTTGTCAACACTGACGATTTTTATGCCACGGAAAAAACACAGTGTTACCAAATTAGTATTTCGGGCTTTCATTGGAGGGTCATTTGCTTGTTTCATGACAGCTTGTATAGCGGGACTTTTAACAGTCTAGCCAACTGTGCAAATAAAATATTTTTTTAGTGTTGTGTTTTTTTATTTAGATCTCGCGCGCTTCGTTTATATTGGCAGCCCTGAGTGTCACTGCTGTCAATTGAAAAAGAAGATGGCGACGGTTTAATTAAATATTTTATTTTCGATACACTTGTCGCCATTTTGAATTTGAATACTTGACTATAACTTTGTTATTTTTTACCCAAAAGTGTTGTAATTTCAATAAAAAATTTTCGATTTTTCATTGATTTATTTTATTTTCGATACATTATATATAAATTTCGCCCAAAAAAGTGTCACAAATGTCGCAAAATTTGTTTGATTATTTTAGTGTAATAAATTATAGAGAAAAATTAATCAAAAACGTCATTTTTAATACGTTAATTTTATGTGGCCATTTTGAATTGTCGGACATTTTGGCCGTAACTTCGTTATTTTTAACTCAATTAAAACGAAATTTTGTATTATCTTTAAATTCCGTTTCTTTTACAAGTTACTGAAAAAAAATTACAAAAAGTGCAATTTAATTTTCGAGACGCCATTTTAAATTTCCGGATATTTTGGCCGTAACTTCGTTATTTATAAGTCAATTAAAGCGAGATCTTGTATTAACATCAAATGTCGGTCATTTTCCAAGTTATTGAGCAAAAATTTATAAAAAGTGTAATTTGATCTTATGTGAATACAGATGCTTGGTAGTAAGTTTGTTAAAAAATAGATCAAAAATTGTTACAAAAGCCATAAAAACTAAACATTTTCGGAAAATTCAGCTACAATTTCGTAGCTTATGTTTTAATTCACGACGCCATTTTGAATTTTCGGGCATTTTAGCCGTAACTTCGTTATTTTTAACTCAATTAAAACGAAATTTTGTATTATCTTTAAATTCCGATTATTTTACAAGTTACTGAAAAATAAATACAAAAAGTGCAATTTAATTTTCGTGACGCCATTTTGAATTTGCGGATATTTTGGCCGTAACTTCGTTATTTAAAAAGTGTTGTAATTTCAATAAAAAACTTTCGATTTTTCATTGTTTTATTTTATTTTCAATACATTTATCGGTTTCGACGAGTCCGGGCGGTTTGAACACTTCCTGACACCGGAAACACTTGACAAAAACTGCTGAATTTTCCTCATTTAGTCGTAAATTGCATTTTGTGCATTCTTTTTCCGGGAAAGAATCCTCGTAGGAGCTGTAGATCAAATCGGTGATTGGTTGTGGCGGATTTGGGCAGAAAATCTCCATCGAAACGGCTGGTTTCTCGCCGGGGGCGGCGACACAAGTGGCATTGGGGGTGGCACGTGAAAAATTACTCGCCTCAAAACTGCCCCCAAGTAAAAAAGAAATGAAAAAAATCGAAGAGAGGAACATTTTCACTGGAATTTTGACACTTGATTGACACAATGTGTTTTTGTTTTGGCGGTAAATTTGAATGGGGAATGTGGGGTCAAACACCCGTCTAAAAATGCGTTATATTTTTAAACGAATTCCGAAAAAAGTGTATTTTTCGTTGAGCGCGTGTAAAAAAAGCCATCGTAGATGCCAAGGACTCGGCGTGAAACAAATGATTACGACGATGATCACGGGACCTATGCCGAATAAGACACACGCCATTTAAAATTTATAAGCTTTCAAGATGGTTTTTTACATTATTTATGTCCATGTCTAGACATCTAAAATGTTTTAATGAAGCCCTTCGATATACGAATTTATTTAAATATTTGTAAAGCGTAGTACGCTGTTACGAAAACAACGAAAACGCTTACTCAGATTTGAGGAAAATTAAATACGCCATTTTGACGAAAAACTACCGATTTGATTTTGACGTTTTTTTATAATAAGACGCAATAACTGTGTCGCAAGTTAAATTTTAATTGTTTTGTAAACAACAATACATACTTGATTTATTTCCAAGATCTACAAAAACAAATTCCTAGAATTTTCCGCTACTTGAAATTCGGGAAAACGTTTTATGCTGATTGCTAAACGCCAACAAAAACAAACAAAAAATCTTTATCAACATCGACGCCATTTTGAATTTCAATTGAGATTAAATAGACTTTTGTTTTCAATTTTTTAAACCCCTACCTACTGCACCAAAAATTTGCAAACACACCATAAATCTGACATTTTTCTAGTAATTAAATTAAAATTTCAAACAACGATTTAAAGTAACGTCGCCATTTTGAATATTTGAGAAATTTCACTGCAAATAAAGCTCAATTTCGACGAAAAAAGTGTCACAAATGTCGCAAAATTAAACAAAAACGTCATTTTTAACACGTCAATTTTATGTGGCCATTTTGAATTTTCGGACATTTTGGCCGTAACTTCGTTATTTTTAACTCAATTAAAACGAGATGTTGTATTAACATTGAATTCTTGTTATTTTCTAAATTATGAGAAAAAAATTTACAAAAAGTGCAATTTAATTTTCGTGACGCCATTTTGAATCTGAACGATTGGCTCTAATTTTTACCCAAATGATTCGTAATTTGATATAAGTATTAAATTTTAAAGTTATTTTAACGTTTTTATGTAAAAATACAATGTAGACTTAATTTAATTAGTGACGCCATTTTGAATATTTTGAATGTATGTTTAATATAACTACTTTGCCAGTTTTAGGTCAAATAAATCAAAACTTTGAGCAAAAATTGTTACAAAAGTCTTAAACATTGAACATTTCCGGCAAATTCAATGTGTGTTTTAATTTACGACGCCATTTTGAATTGTCGGACATTTTGGCCGTAACTTTGTTATTTTTAACTCAATTAAAACGAGATTTTGTATTATCTTTAAATTCCGATTATTTTTCAAGTAACTGAAAAAAAATATACAAAAAGTGCAATTTAATGTTCGTGACGCCATTTTGAATCTGAATGTTTGTTTTAATTTACGACGCCATTTTAAATTTTCGGATATTTTAGCTGTAACTTCGTTATTTATAACTCAATTAAAGCGAGATTTTGTATTAACATCAAATCTCAGTCATTTACTAAGTTATTGATCAAAAATTTACAAAAAGTGCAATTTAATTTTCGTAAATAAAAATGCTTGTTAAAAATGTTTGTTAAAAAATAGATCAAAACTTCGAGCAAAAATTGTTACAAAAACCTCAAAAACTGAAATTTTCGGCAAATTCAGCTACAATTTCGTACCTTGTGTTTTAATTCACGACGCCATTTTGAATTTTCGGGCATTTTAGCTGTAACTTCGTTATTTTAAACTCAATTAAAACGAAATTTTGTATTGTCTTTAAATTCCGATTATTTTGCAAATTACTGAAAAAAAAAATACAAAAACTGCAGTGACGCCATTTTGAATTTTCGGATATTTTGGCTGTAACTTCGTTATTAATAACTCAATTAAAACGAGATTTTGTATTAACATCAAATGTCAGTCATTTTCCAAGTTAATGAACAAAATTTTACAAAAAGTGTAATTAAATTTTTGTTGAGTTTGTCAATTTATCCAGAAATTTGATTGTTTTTGTTGGACGTTTGAAAATTCCTGGAATGGATCAACGTAATAAACTTTCCAGTGTATCGTTCTCCAATGCTGAAAATATGTAAATATCTATTACCTGTCGTGTATAAAAGTGCGCTCTCTATCGTCCCTAAACGAAAAAGTGTCTGAAATCGCGTCGTGACCCGCCTGCAGTGTGTTTTCTCGCGGATCTTCACCCTGAAAACCGATCATTCGTTTCCGCCTCTATTTCAGCATTGCTCGCGTATTTTTTTCCATCGTAGACAAACCGTCTCGTCTAGTCGACTAAAACAAAAATATAACAACCATCGCAGTGGTGAACAACGAGAGACAAAGAAACCAACGTTGTTTTCCTACTCCGACTTACTATCCACACACACACACACACACACACACACACCGATTCTAATAATAAGACACCTTAGTTTAAATTGTACTTCAGCTCGACGAGCAAGCATCTCTCTGTGCCGTGCGCGACGTACGCCACTGATATGAGCCCCCTCGTCGTTATTTGCGTGATGGCATTGGCGGGGGCCGTCCCCTTGCGCCGCCACCAGGACCTCGACGCCGTCCTCGACCAATTCATACAAAAACTGTACGAATATCAAGTCGCCACCCCCAATAATGACGACGAACAAATGCAAAGCGATCAACCTGAAAATAAAATCGACGCCGACAACATGACCGACTATTTACGCACTTCGCGAAATCGGTAAGTTTTATTCAAACACATTGTATATTTTTCTAGTCATTTATGATTTTTTGACAGACAACGTGATTTCGATAATGACGACAGGTAATTAATTAGTGTTTTGTTGTTTTTTTTTTTTTTGTTTTTTGCATGGTGTTGTGACGTAAGTGTGAAAACTTTTCAACAATTTAATCAATCACACACACACCAATTATTAATAATAATTATTGCAAATTTTTCGTGACAGCTGTCAAATGAAATGCCAGAGGCCACTAAACTTATAAATGATGACAGTCGGCAATTTTTTTTTCCTCTCACGGCCCACCTGATGCACAGGTGTTTCACAACCGGTGTCATTATTCATGAATGAAAATTACGATTTTTCGGAGGGAAACAGATATTTAAAAGGTCAACGTTTTCGGCCGTCAATAATTTTAATTTCCTGTCCCGTTTCCTAGCGGCAGGTGTTTGACTACAGTCAGAGGCGTTCGTCAAAAGGGGGCTTTAATTCCAGTTTGTGCGAGTTTGGGGGGTTCACGGGTGGGGAAATTCGCGTTTTTGGGGGAATGTGTGTCGGGGTGTTCGCCCAAAGGGGCGGAAAGTGTGTGGGGAGGTGGGTTGGGGGCAAAGTACGGGTGATACGCCACTGGTGTGGAGATCGTCGCTCACACATTACTCTCTCTTCCGTCCTGATTACGCACACAATATATACTCAACGTCTGGCCTCTGTCTAGAGTTTTTATATCTTTATTTTTATCGCATTCCTAGGCGAGACGGTAATATAAACCCGCGTTACGTAACGGTCATCGAAGACGGCGAGGCAAAGGGGAAATTTATGGGACGAGACAGGGGGGCCAACCAAATTGCAATCATTGTCAAATTTCAATCTCTAAAACCGAAAATTTATATAAATTTGGAAAAAAATCAAATGACCAAAAGTCCGGTTTCCTGAAACACTTTGCCCAAAATTGTTTTTTGTCAAAAACCGAAAAATGACCAAATTTAATAGAATAACACAATATATTACACCTCAAATAACCAAATTAGTGTTTTTGTATAATAAATTGCAAAAAATCGTTAATAAAAATAACCTCACTTTTTTGACGTTTTTGGGCCAATATTGCACATTTATTAGACTGTTTTTCATTCCAACTTCCCAATTGTGACACTTTTATTACAAAAATAATGAAGAAATTCCAATCATTGATAAAATTTCAATCAAAACATCTAATTTTCTTTAAAATCAAATTATTTGGAAAAATCAAACGACCTGAAATCCGGCCCAAAACTGTTATTTTTTGACAAAAACCGAAAAATAAACCCCAAATTTAATAGAATAACAATATATTACACCTCAAATAAACAAATTAATGTTTTTCTGTAATAAATTGCAAAAAATCGTTAATAAAAAATAACCTCACGTTTTTGGGCCAATTTTGCATATTTAGACCGTTTTTTCTTTCAACTTCCCAATTGTGACACTTTTATTACAAAAATAATGAAGAAATTCGAATGGTTGACAAAATTTCAATCAAAACATCTAATTTTCTTTAAAATTAAATTATTTGAAAAAATCAAACGACCTAAAGTCCGGCTTCCAGAAACACTTTTCCAAAATTTTTGCCCAAAACTGTTATTTTTTGACAAAAACCGAAAAATAAACCCCAAATTTAATAGAATTACAATATATTACACCTCAAATAAACAAATTAATCTTTTTGTATAATAAATTGCAAAAAATCATTAATAAAAAATAACCTCACTTTTTTAACGTTTTTGGGCCAATTTTGAACATTTAGACTGTTTTTCCTTCCAACTTCCCAATTGTCACACCGTTATTACAAAAATAATGAAGAAATTCCAATCATTGACAAAATTTCAATCAAAACATATATTTTTTTTAAATTAAACTATTTGTAAAAATTAAACGACCTAAAGTCCGGTTTCCTGAAACACTTTTCCAAAATTTTTGCCCAAAACTGTTATTTTTTGACAAAAATCGAAAAATGTACCCCAAATTTAATAGAATAATACAACATTTAACATCTCAAATAAACAAATTGGTGCTTTTTGTATAATAAATTGCAAAAAAGTCAATAAAAAAATAACCTCACTTTTTACAACATTTTTTTGAAGTTTTTGAGCCAAATTTTTGCACATTTATACTGTTTTTCCTCCCAATTTCCCAATTGTAACACTTTTACTACAAAAATAATGAAAAAAAAACTACAACATCGCTACAATATTGTAAATTTGGTCCCCCACTTTGCCACAAGAGGCGCTTTAAAACGACTTTCTGGTAATTTTAGAGACTTTTAACCACTTTTGTTTTTTAATGTCAACAAACCATTTTTGCCCATTTTTGTAAACTAATACTTTGAATCTCGATAATTATTCAAAATTTACCCCACCTAACCGCAATAAAATGAATCACCAAAATACAGATCCCTGTAATGGACAAAATGGTTGGGTGAAACCCCCAAAGCTGATTTATTTATGAATAATCAAACAAAAATTGTCAAATTTGTCAAAGTGTTCCAAAATCGTATTTTTTGTTAATTTTTGAAATGTGAAACGTTTGTTACAAATTCTTTTTGTATCGAAAGGCAACTTGCAACTCGTTTTGCAAATCCAGTTTGCCATATTAGGCCGTTAAACGCTTTACTTTCTTTAATGTCTAGGTCTAGTCCATCTAAAGCCGGTTTCACACCCACCGGTAGTACCAGTAGTACCAACCTGATCATTCGTGTAACACACCACATTCACTTCCTTATGCACGATGGATACCGTTTTTTAATATCAACGTCTAGACATGTGCGGTGTATTGACCTTTAATGCGTAGTCTAGTTGGCTAGGTGTAGAATAACATGCATGTTTTTGTTTTTTCTATTTCTCAAATGATACAAATTATGACTTGTGATTGTCACTTTTAGAGCCAAAGATAACTGGATTCAAGTTTTAAAAGAAAATATTCTACGACAAATCGGGCGGTCGAATATGACGGTGATTAACGATGATAGTCGAGGAGGGACGAACGTGACGATGATACCCGATGTGTTCAATCGGACAAGTTTCAATGACGATCACATTACCGAGAAGATACGAAGCTATTACCCCTCTTGTATGTCATTTTATATTCTAGTTTCTAATTTGACAGTTGGTACTACTTTAGGTGAAGTACCGACAAATATGGAACAAGATGTATGGAAAGATGAGAATGTCATGAATTTATATTTCAACAATTTTGATAATTCTGATGAGAAAGGACTAAATATTGCGACGGCAACGTTACGACTTTACAGGATACCAACCGAAAATGTCACTAAAACGGGTCAAAAATCCCCAGATTGTGACACGAGTAGTACCTCCGAAGAGGAAAAATTGCTACGCGTGTCGATTTATTGGTACACACGCTCAGTTCGCAAGAAGAAAGGTAAATAAGCGACGCCATTTTGAATTTAAAATACCGGGGAATCCCCTATTTTACAGTTAAACGTCGCCTTTCTGACAGCAAAGTGATTCAAGAGAGTGCCCGTTGGGTGGAGCTGAGTGTGAAACCAGCGGCGCGCGCCTGGTCACGTGGTCGCAATTTAGGGTTGGCAATCCTGGTGGAGGACCAAGAAGGCACCATCCTTAAGGCCGATCGTCTCTTCAAAGGAGCCTTATGCATGGTCGGCGCGTGTGAGTTTGCATTAACCCTACTAATTTTTTTTGAGTGCGCCACTGACTTGTTAACACTAACTATCGAAAGTGTATTTGACCGAAAAATTGACATTTGTGTTATCCACAGCCACCCCGAAACCCATTCCAACTATCATCATCGACGCCGCTCGTCAATCCAACGAACTTGACCGACGAATTCATAGCCTACTTGGAGGAAATTCAACGTCGACCGTATCTGGTGATGTACCAATGCTACCAACCATAGATGTGTGCACGTTGGAATTCCCCGAAAATTACAGCCAGCCGCCCCAGATCGGACAACTTCGGATCAATGCGTGCAATTTGAAAAAGTCACACGAAGATGCACGATTGTTGGCCGAAAGGGACCGACTCGAACGGCTGGCGACTTTACCCGAACTTTTAGCACCGAGACATATCAGACATCAAAGACAACATCTCAAGTTTGATCCAAGGTCAAATATTGTCAATAAAAGGATTTTGACCAATGAGGAATTGCAAGCACTCAATATCACCATTGACAGATAAATTCATTTAACAAATGACAAACAAAAGGGATAAGACTGTGTGAAATTTAGAGTAGGCTATGTAAGTTATTTTTTTATTTATGCAAAGTGGCCGGAAGTGTATATATAGTCACGTGATTGTGACAAATGGCTTTTTTATTTAGTTATTGGTGCTACCTCATGTTATTATTTATTCTTGTACTTAACTCTTATCAAATACGATTTTCCATATAATTGTAAATTACCTAACTAGACTAGTGTTGTAAATATGTATAAAAACTAAACTCTATCGAAATAAATATCTTTTCTACACTCTCGTCCATTATTTCAATTTTTTTTTGTAAAAAAAATGAAACGACCAAACGTCCAGTTGCCTGAAACACTTTTCAAAAAAATAACCAAATCCGCTAATTTTTACTAAGAATTAACAATTTCATCTCAAATTCAATCAATAACATAAAATTAGATAAAACAATCGCTTTTAGTAATAAATTGCGTAAAAAAACATTAAAAAAATAGGATTGCATAACCCCACTTTTTGTAAAACATTGTCTTCAATTTTTTGTGACTGTTTTGGGTAAATTTTTGTAAACTGACGCTGTAATTCCTCACAATTCCCCAATTACAACAGTTTTATTATAAAAATTATGAAAAAAACTCACCTAACGCCAACATTTTGCCACAATTTTCTTACTTTAGTTTACCACTTTGCCACAAGAGGCGCTCCCAAAAAACATTTTCGCCAATTTAGTAATTTTAAGTAATTTTTTTGCAAATATTTTATTTGTACACAAATTACTTTGACCCCTTTTGCAAATTCACATTTTTAAAGTTAATTTTTATCAATATTTAGGAACAATAAACAGAGGCGACACCTATTAAACATAAGGCAAAAGAAATACAGTTTTCTGTAGGAAAAACCCCAGATTAAAAACTCAGGTACTTTTCCTAAATTTTATTTGTCTAAATCAAAAACCCCTCAACTCGTTTTACTAGCTCCTCCTGGTCCAAAATCGTGCCATGATCACCATGAACCGTACTAAACTGCACATTTTCACAACATTTCGATAATTGGTAATCATCTTCTTCATTAACCATCGCAAATTTGGCTTTAATTAAATGCACCGGCGATTTAATCTTGTCATGTTCAAACTTGTACCCAATCACGGCTTTAAATCTCTTATACAACGTCAAAGCGGCTTGTTTCTCCATTTTTTGCTTAATCTCAACCTCGAGTGGAAGCATCTCAAGTACCAAATCACACCTTTCATTCATATCTTTACACTTGAGTAACTTATCTTTGAATTCAACTAAAAGATCAATTGGGACTAATACTGCCAAAATTTTGAAAATAAGAGCTGTTTGGAACTCTGCTTCGTCTTCTTCAGGAAGATATTCCTTAGCAGAAGACGTCAAATAAGTGGGAGAGCCGTCAATTGTGACCATTTTACCCCCATAACCCTTCTTTTCTAGAAGCGAAACGATTTCAAGACCCACAGCAGCCCCAAATGAGTAACCAATGATTTTAAATTGCTTACTTGGGGGTAAATTCGACTCAATGTGCTGAAATTTACAATTAACACGAGTGACACACTTAATTTTTTCTACAACTCACTGGTAGGATTTTGAGGGCTACTTCTGGTATAGTGTCCTCAGGGTTGTTATAGTCGTATTGGATGCCATAAATGTGGGCGTGGAGGTTTTTGGTTAGGTTACTCAAAGGGTGAAAAACACCCTCAATTCCAGCCAATAGGAAAATAGTTGGGGCTTCTTCATCTTTGACTCGACTCTCAAGTTTGATTATTGGTAAATGACTAGTTTTGCTATCAGGGATATATTTCATTAGTAAGTTGGTACCCTTGGACGTCTTAGTGTCACTTTGTTTGGTTTCGCTCCTGTCAGATTCAATCTCACTCAATCTGGAATCAAGTTTTAATTTGAAATTGGCGCCTAAATCACTCCGCCATCTTTTTGCGGGAAATTTAAAATCAAAATTAAAAAACGCTTACTTGGCAAAAGTGAGACTTCGAACATCCTTGGCTGTGATATAAATTTCGTATTCCTTCTCCAAAAGTTGTATAACTTCGGTCCCCATCATGGAATCCATCCCCAACTCGGCCAAAGTGGCATGTTGGCTCACAGTTTTGATATCTTTAATTCCTAGAACAAATGCAACAGCTTCCACAGCACTCAAACTTTCATTCCTGTTGTGTTTCTCAGCCACCACCATTGAGGAGACGACTGGATGTGTTTGTTTTAAAAATTTATCTAAAACTTCCAAACAACTGGAGATTTTCTGTTGCAAAGTTCCCCCAATCACCAATTCGCGATTCTCTTTTTGCATTTTCGCAACTAAACCGACATCACCAATGGCCCCCCATTGGATGGCCAAAGCGGGGAAACCCTCAATTTTGCGCTTTTCACAAATCCGTTCCATAATCGAGTTGGCCATGCCGTAGTTGGTTTGTCCGCCATTACCGCGTCCGCACGCCACTGACGAAAACACAACAAAATGGCGGAGTTGCGGACATAACCTCCGAGTGATTTCATCCAAAAACTGAGTGGCTTGTGATTTCGGAGCGCGGGATAATTTGAAACTTTCTTCATTTTGATCTTCAAAAAGTGCGTCTTTTAGTACCACTCCGAGGTTGAAGATGGCGTCAATTGGGCCCAAAGTCTGCGCTTGCTTGATTAATTGAAGACAGCCGGGTTTGGTGGTAATGTCATGGGTGGAAATTAAAATTTTCACACCGTATGACTTCCATATGGTCAAGCGTTGGTTTTGGTACCCAGTTTTGGTACCATAACGTGACACTAGTACCAGTTTTGTGGCACCGCGAAGTACCAACCAATCGGCTAGTTCTAACCCAACTCCGCCCAAGCCGCCTATGATCACATAGACTTTGGTACTATTAGCATAGAACCTTGGATGGACTTTAAAGAGTTGGTCCTGTGGGACATGAAGCTTGTTGGGTTCCTCCTCCCGGATTTTAACCATGACTTTGCCCATATGGCGGCCGGTCATCATGTACCGATGGGCGGCTTCTATCTCTTCCCGTTTGAAAACTTTCCGTGGGAGTGGCTTAATGAACCCAATTTTGATACCATCAGACACAATCTGGGACAATTCCTGTTTCAAATGTGGGCTATTGGCGTAAATTTGATCCAGCATAACCCCATGGTAACTTATCCCTTTTTCCATCATATATAACCCCAATTGGGTGTTATTAGCAAGGTCAAATTTCCCAATTTCCAGAAACCGGCCTCCAGGTGCCAAACACCTCACCGAAGCCATCAATTTCTCCTCACTCAAAGAATTCAAAACAATGTCAACTCCTCGACCTCCAGTTTGCGTTTTGATCATTTCCTCAAAGGACGTGTCACGGGAATTCCCGATTCGTGATTGAGGAATTTGAGGAAATGTGCGTCTCAAGTACTCACGCTTTTCTTGAGTACCAACTGTGAGGTAAATTTCGCATTTGTAATGAAGACAAACGTTGATGGCCGCGAGTCCAATTCCACCAGTAGCAGAATGGATCAAGATGGAACTTCCGGGTTTGAGTTTCCGGACCATGAGGAGAGCGTAGAGGACGGTACCATAAACCACCGGAATTGTAGCGCCGTCTTCGAGGCTCCAGGAGTCCGGGATTTCCCACAACAGAGTCGGGTCGGCGGAAATGTGCGAGGAGAAGGCCGAGTTGTCGGTCATTCCACACAAACGGCGCCCCCTGAAGGTTTTTTAGGTTAAATTTGATAAATAAATAATATAAATCTAACAAAAATTTGAAATTGGCGGGTAAATTACAGCGCCACCTGTAATTATTTTGCGGGAAATTCAAATTTTGCGTTCTAGTTCTTCGAATAAAGTAACAAAAATGGTTAAATAGAACTTGAAATTTGAAATTGGCGCTTATAATACAGCGCCACTTGTTATTTTTGCAGGAAATTTATTTTTTTTTTGATTAAACTAAGTCAAGTAAACCGAAATTGTGTGATAACATAAACACTGATCTCCCCAAGTTTGAATTTTTCGAAAAAACAAAGAAAAACTTTTCAAAATTTGGATAGAAGTGTCTAATTTAGCTATGTTTCAACTAATCGGTAATTTGTAGTGTGGAATGAGGGGTCACACCCTGGGTCTATTTTGCTGTTTAATTTCCCAAAAAAAGCAAAAAACACTAAATCGTATAATTTCACTCTAAAAACATAACGTCATAATATCCCCCTTATCCTAATCGTAATTGTTTTTTCAAAAAACTTTAAATTTTTTTTCAATTTGCCGCTTCAAATCACAATTTTAATAAATAATAATGATAATTTTTGAAATAAGAAACCCAAAACCAAAAACTATAACTTCATTGAACCAATCAGTGAATTTTAGTGTGGAAAGATAGGTCACACTTAATTTAATATTTAATTTTTCCAAAAGCTGTCAAATGGCATACAAAAAAAAACATTTTTGTAATATTTTTACTAAAACATTAAATTTTAATCAAAAAAATAATTGTTTCAATTTTTTTTGCCCGAGTTTAAATTTTTCGAAAAACAATAAAAAACATTTCAAAATTGGACTAAAAGTGTGTATTTTTGAAATAACCGGTAAACTGTAGTGTGGAATGAGGGGTCACACCCTGGGTCTATTTTGCGGTTTAATTTCCCCAAAAAAAGCAAAAACACTAAATCGTATGATTTCACATTAAAAATCGCAACAAAAATTCGCGCGAAATTTGAAAAAGCATCAAATATTTTATTTTTTCGCCACTTGCGTTCTAATTCTTCGATTGAAATAACAAAAATGGTTAAATAGAACTTGAAATTTGAAATTCGCGCTTTAAATACAGCGCCACTTGTTATTTTTGCGGGAAATTTAAATTAAAAAGAGTCAAGTAAACTAAAATTGAGGTAAAACAAAAGCTAGTACCTCAAATCCCGTCCTGCAAACTCGAACCCGACGGCACACTCCTGTTCCCTCCTATCAGTGGTGATAACATCAACACTGATCCTCCCCGAGGACAACATAACGTCTTTGAAATTAATCGCCGAGTAATAATTCTACGAAAAAAACCTCAATTTGCATTTTTTTACCTCAAAAAAACTCACTAGGATCATAACATGTCCTTTTTTGACCTCCGAGTCGCGCCTCAAAGGCCCCTCCAACCATTTCATGCTTGCTAATTCACCTCTAACTGTCACATTTGCATAACAATGTTCACTTTCCACCTCCTCCAACTCCTCCAAAAGCAAATGGCGGTAAGTCCCCCATTTTCCGTTTTTGTACACATTTATGGCTAAGTTTTTGCGAATTTGGTTGGCAAAAACCGGATTTTGGGGGTCAAATTCCGGGGATTGGTCCATGATGAAGTAACACTTGACCTTATTTCCGGTCGGTTCCGGGCGTAGACAATTGACAAGGCCTAAAATCCCCTCCGGAGTGTGATTTTGACCGAATGCGATCACATTGTCGTCGGTTTTCACCGCTTTTTGCAACTCCGGTAACCATTCGAACGAATCCGGGGAAATTCGTACAAAGTGTGGTACCGGAATGGTACCGTTTCTCCGGAACAGAATTAGTTTCTCGTCCGGAGTTGTGAATTCGGTGAGAATTTCAAGATTTTCGATGTTTTCCGAATGGAAATCTTTGGATTCGCGTGAAATTAGAAAACCTTTGGTACTCAAAGCTTGGAAGTAGAGTTTGGGAATTGTGGGTCTTTGGAGGAGTTTGGTACCGATGATTAGGAGTAAATTACTCTCAGGTGTGAGGACAAAATCTTCGATTTTGACTCCGGGGATGTCCTCAAGTGTCATTTTGGTTGAAATTACCACGTTTGGGGTTATCACAGGGACGTCGTCGAGGGCTTTGCAGAACAAGGGGGACAAAGGAGTTGATTTTGAGGTCTCGTCGAGGATTTCAACCGATTTGAAATGACTTTCAAGCGAATTTTCGATGATTATTTGGGTGTTGATCCGGATTGAGTCGGGGAGGTTCATAGTGGTACTGTTTGGTACGAATTGGTACTTCTCCAGGACCGGCTCTAAGCGTTGCTTTTTCTTGGCGATTGATTTGGCTTGGAGGCCCAAAATCTCGATCCCTCCGGACCTGAAAAGTGCTGTCTTATTATACACTCGAATTGAAAAAAAATATTTAAAGTAAAAATCCAAAAATTTTAACATTCTGAGTACTAATTTTTGAAATAAGGGACCTAAAATAAAAAATTATAATTTTATTGAACTAATCGGTAAATTTTAGTGTGGAAAGATAGGTCACACTATAGACTTAATTTAATATTTTAGTTTTCAAAAAATTGACAAAATGCCCCAAAACAAAAACCGACATTTTTGTAATATTTTTTTACTAAAACGTTACATTTTAATTAAAAAAATAACTGCTTTAAATTTTTTAGCCCGAGTTTATATTTTTCGAAAAAAACAATGAATGACTTCTCAAAATTGGACTAAAAGTGTCAAATTTTGATATTTTTGAACTAATCGGTAAATTGTAGCGTGGAATGAGGGGTCACACCATGGGTTATTTTAAGTAAAAATCCAAAAATTTTAACATTCTGAGTACTAATTTTTCAAATAAGGGACCTAAAACCAAAAATTATAACTTCATTGAATTAATCGGTAAAGTTTAGTCACACTATAGACTTAATTTAATATTTAAATTTTCAAAAAACTTTCAAAATGGCCCAAAACAAAAACCAACATTTTTGTAATATTTTTTTTCCTAAAACTTTAAATTTTAATCAGAAAAATAATTGCTATAAAGTTTTTTGCCCGAGTTTGAATTTTTCGAAAAAAAAACAAAGAAAAACTTCTTAAAATTGGACTAAAAGTGTCAAATTTTGAACTAACCGGTAAATTGTAGTGTGGAATGAGGGGTCACACCCTAGGTCTATTTTGCTGTTTAATTTCCCCAAAAAGCAAAAAACACTAAATCGTATAATTTTACTCTAAAAACGTAGTGTTAATATCCCCTTATGCTAAGCGTAATTATTTTTTTTAAAACTTTATTTTTTTTGAATTTGCCGCTTCAAATCACAATTTTAATAAATAATAATTTTTGAAATAAGGAACCTAAAACCAAAAACTATAACTTCATTGAACTAATCGGTAAATTTTAGTGTGGAAAGATAGGCCACACTATAGACTTAATTAAATAATTAAATATTTAGTTTTTCAAAAAACTGTCAAAATGATCCACAAGAAAAAAAAACATTTTTGTAATAATTTTTTACTAAAACGTTAAATTTGAATCAAAAAAATAATTGTTTTAAAGTTATTTGCCTAAGTTTAATTTTTTCGAAAAAAAACAATGAAAAACTCCTCAAAATTGGACGAAAAGTGTCAGATTTTGGTATTTTTGAACTAACCGGTAAATTGTAGTGTGAAATGAGGGGTCACACACTGTGTCTATTTTGCTGTTTAATTTCCCAAAAAAAAGCAAAAACACTAAATCGTATAAAAACAAAAAAATATCCCTGTATTCCAACCTTAATTTTTTCTAAAAAACAATTTTTTTTTTGAATTCGTCTCTTTACACGACAACAAAATTCGCGGGAAATTAAAAAAAAACAAATAATTTGTTTTTTCGCCACTTACTTGATAATGTTGACATCCTTGTAGCAATAAACCGGGATTAGGGCCCCCTCCCCTCCCAATTCCTCAGCAATTTTCTTATGTTTGAGGGGATTTATGACCATTTTTTGTATTCCCACGGGAACATAAAGCAATCTCGTATCATTTTGCAAAATTTTCAATTGTAACATTTTATCGGTAAAAGTGCACCAATTGTCCTCCCATTTGACCAAACCGGAAGAACCATCCACGTTACATTTCGCTATACCTTTGAACAAACCACTAAACCGAATTGGTTAAACCGCTCAAAAACCACTCACCTGTAGTTATAACCCCTCAAATACAACTCGCGATAGATCTCGTCATGTTCGAGGATGTGACTAGGGTCATTTCCTAGGTCAATAGGACCAAAATCTGCCTCTTTTTGGGCCGCCTCCTCCCACGTCCTAATCCTCCCACTCACAACCAAAGTGTCCTTTTCCAAAACCTCAAAATTGCCATTCCCGAGTCCAATGGTCACTAGAAGTTTCACAAAACCGGATTTAGGCATTGTGACAGCTCTCACAAATTTGCAATTTTCAAAAACAACAGCCACATCTTCAGGCAGTAGGCGCCGACTTTGGGCAAAAGTCTCCCAAACTAGAGTCAAATACTTGGTCGCAGGGAAAAGATTCCGATCTAAAAAAAAATTTAGCACGAGTGACATATTTAATTTTTTTCTACTACCATCAATCACGTGACCTTGCATAAACTTGTACTCGTCGTACACATACGAAATGAAATAATCGCGTTGCTCGGCATCCGTAATGGTAAACTCCCGGAATTTGTAAGTGAACCAACTCCGATTGTGGTTCCATTTGACAAAAGGCGAGATCATGGAAGTACCCCGACTTACCGGAAACTCAACTCCGGGGTATAACTCGTGGAGATGAGGGGTGTGGCCTAACTCAAACAACCTAGAATTTTTTTGATCAATACTGATTTCTCTTGTGGTGGGGTTAAGTACCGCCCAATTGTCTCAAGGAAGTTAATTTTGATACCATCGGTGATCATCACGTCGCAATTATTTAAATTCGAGTCTGAAATATTCAGGATTAGGGCATTTTTCAGGTCGAGGAGACTCTCATGTGTCAATGAATCGGATCGTAGTTGGCCATTTAGTAGTTCCGGGCCGAAATCTAGCGTTCTTTTGGTTTCGTAGTGATTGGTAGCACTGTTTATGCACTCTTCGAGTGTTAAATTGTTGTAAAAATAGCCACTTGCTAGTTTTCCACAACCATCGCCGTAGACCACAGGAAATAAGTTTAGGGTTTTTAAAACATCGACAAGGCCCAATTGGACGAAAATCGGGCCGAGGACATTCTGTTGGTAGCCCTTTGTAGGGACTTTACCCGAGAGAATGTTATTAATCCTGCAAAAACATAGTTTTTGAAATTGCCGCCAAAGTTTTTAGCGATACTGGCGGGAAATTAAGCAGTTTAAATTAAAAAAAAAACACTGTAGAAAAAACAAAAATTTTTAATAAAGTTATTAAAATTAATTTGTATTTTTTTCCAAGTTTCAAAATTAATA